AGAACCCCAAGCAGGCTCCACAGTATCAGTGCAGAGCCCAACACAGGGCTTAAACTGATGAACCCTGAGATCATGACCTGAGCTGAAATCAAGAGTTGGCCACTTAACTGACTGAGCCACCCAGGCGCCCCAGCTCCCTGGTTTTGATAGCGTCCTACGATTGGGTAGAATGTTCCGCCGGTGGGAGCTTGTGACGGTACCCAGGACTTCTCTGGACTATCTCTGCAACTCTCTGTCGGTCTATAATGATTTCAACACAAAACATGAAAACAAGAAAAAGCTGACCTAAAGAGTAGACTCATTTATTAGAGATCTCTAATGTGTGTGTGCTATAAGTGTACATACTTGGGTAGTAAGAATGTGTTTCTGAGGGTGCCAAGCTGGCCCTGTCGGTGGAGTGTGCAACTCTTGATCTCCAGGTAGTGTGTTCAAGCCTTTATGTTGGGCGTAGAGATTACTTAAAAATTTTTAAAAAATAAAAACTTTTTTTTAACATTTATTTATTTTTGAGAGACAGAGCACAGCAGGGGAGGAGCAGAGAGAGACACACACACACAGAGAATCAGAAGCAGGCTCCAGACTCTGAGCTGTCAGCACAGAGCCCGACGTGGGGCTCGAACCCATGAATGATGAGATCATGACCTGAGCTGAAGTCAGAAGCTTAACAGACTGAACCACCCAGATGCCCCTAAAAAAATTTTAAAAAGAAGGATGTTTTTCTGAGTAAATGAGATAATGGATTTTTCTAGAGCCTCCCCCACCTTGCCCCCACCGCTATCTGTACTTTCTATAGTGAAGCAGTTTTATAGTGGAGGTGCTCTATACAGAATATCGAGTTACCAAATCCCCTCTCTCCTCTGTCTCCAACTTCCTGTTTTTTTTAATTTATTTATTTATTTTTGAGAGAGAGAGCGTGAACAGGAGAGGGACAGAAAGAGAGGGAGACACAGAATCCAAAGACAGGCGCCAGGCCCTGAGCTAGCTGTCAGCACAGAGCCTGACGTGGGGCACCCACGAACTGCGAGATCATGACCTGAGCCGAAGCCAGACACTTAACCGACTGAGCCACCCAGGCGCCCCAACTTCTCCTGTTTTTAACATCTGATTTAGTGTGGGACATTGGTTACTGTCGACAAGCCACCACTGGTACAGTATTATTCACTAACACCCATAGTTTGCATTATATCATAATACATACGGGTTCCCTCTTGGTCTTATATATTCCACGGGCTTTGATGACTGCGTAATGGACGCAGCCACCATAACAACATCCAACAGAATCATAGTTTCACTGCCCTGAAAATCCTCTGTGCCGGGCCTGTCTCTTTCCCCCACCCCACCCCCACATCCAGTGAGGTTTTTACTGTCTCTGTAGTTTTGGCTTCTCTGGGGTGTCATATAGTTAGAATCATCCAGCACGTGGTCTTTCAAATGGGCTTCTTTCACTTAGTGGCACGCATCGAAGGTTCCTCCATGTCTTTCATGGCTTGCTAGCTGCTGCTGCTGCTGCTGCTTCTCCTTCTTCTCCTCCTTTTTTGATAGCTTATTTCTTTTTATCATTGAATAATAACCAATTGGATGCACCACAGTTTATCAACTGAGTGTTTTAAAATTTCATTTATTTTTAAAAATTATTTATTTTTGAGAGAGAGAGAGCACGAGAGAGAGCACGTGTGCACACACGCTGGGGAGAGGCAGAGAAAGAAGAGAGAGGGAGACAGAGTATCCAAACTGGGGTCCGCAAGGATAGCACAGAGCCCAACGTGGGGCTCAAACCCATGAACCATGAGATCATGACCTGAGCCGAAGGCAGACACTTAACCGACTGAGCCACCCGGGTGCCCCCAAATGAGCATTTTTTTTTTAAATAAGAAAAAAATCATTTAGAAAGTGGGGTAAAAGGTATTTGGTAGAGACGAGGCAGGAAAAGGAGTGTGCGGAGAGGCACCTGGTAATGGAGGTGTCGTCCGGGGGGAAGGGAAGTGCAAGCACAGCGGGGCATGCCGGGGAGAGAGGCTGAGGAAGGAAGGGCACAGGCAGGAGGTACTGGGTGAACCCTGGGCCTCTGGGCTTTGGGAGAGAAGGCAGAGCACGACAGGTCCAGGAACAGTTGATATCATAATGTCACGTTGACTTGTGTCTTGAGGAATTTCCTGTGTCGCTCATGGTGGGTTTCAGAGCACCCCCCTCTACCCCTTCCTGGCAGCTGCAGTCTGGAAAAACTTATGAGCCTCCGTGTTATAAATAAGCTATGAGCATTTCCCAGGAGGCCAGAGGCTCAGAGCCTGGACATTTAGCGCCTTCGTGGCCAAACTGGCAGGCTGCCTGTTGCCATGGTGCCAGGGCGGACTTCACCGGCTGGCGGCAGCCCCATAGCCTGTCCCACACCACTGCTTGGGCAAAGCTAGAAGGCGGCAGCAGTCAGCCCATCATCTTCAGTTCTGATGCCCAGATTCTGTTCCAGCCATCTGGTCTACCCTTGGGTTGACCTGTTTTCCAACAGAGAAGGCACTTTGCTCTTCCTCTGTTAACCTCACACCAATTGCCCCTGTTCCTTTTATGCTCCGATCATCAATCAGATGGCCTTTCATACAGCCTGTGGTGGGTTTCGCAAGCCTCACCTCATTTGGGATTTACATCCTGCCCAGAGTTGTTCTAGTGACCCAGCCTCGTGGTGATCTGCTACCCCTTTCCTGCCTGTTGGCCATGATTTGGTTGATCTGTGACCACCTTAGCATGCCTTAACCTGGGAGGGGACAGTCTGACCACTGGCTGGTGGCAATGCCTCCTTCATTTTAAAGTGTTTTTTTTTTAATGTTTTATTTATTTCTGAGAGAGAGAGAGAGAGAGACAGTGTGAGCAGGGAAGGGTCAGAGAGAGAGAGGGAGATACAGAAACTGAAGCAGCCTCCAGGCTCTGAGCTAGCCATCAGCACAAAGCCTGACGCGGGGCTCGAACCCATGAACCGTGAGATCATGACCTGAGCCGAAGTCAGATGTTCAACCGACTGAGCCACCCAGGCGCCCC